GCAAAGGGAGGGGTCCAGGCAGAGCTCAGAGCCCCTGGCAGGGCCTGGAGGGGCTCCAGGAGAGCTGGAGAGGGACTGGGGACAGGGATGGAGGGACAGGACACAGGGAATGGCTCCCAGTGCCAGAGGGCAGGGATGGGTGGGAGACTGGGAATTGGGGATTGTTCCTGGGAGGGTGGGCAGGCCCTGGCACAGGGTGCGCAGAGAGGCTGTGGCATCCTGTTTTGGGGTGGGTTAAGGAAGGATGCAGCCTCCAGCCCTGCAGTGGGAGAATTTGGGGGTAACTCAAAGCTCTGCTCCCTCCCAGCCCGTGAGGAGCCCCGAGAGGAGGGACAGGAAAGCTGCAGCCAGCACAAGGAAGAGGAAACACTCCCCTTCTCCACCTCCCACTCCTGTGGAGTCCAGGAAAAAGACAGGGAAGAAAGGGTGAGTGTCTGCAAGTGTCCAGAGGCCTGGAATTTGAGGTGAAAAGAGATGAGGGAGAGAAGAAATTCAAGAAATGCTTATGGGGAGAGCTCTGTGACCTGGGGCTCTGGAATTATTTCTGGATAGGCTTGAGGGATTATTCCTGAGCAGTTTGTGCAATTCCTTATTCTACCAATATTTTACCCAAATAAAAACCTAATTACTATTACTTAAATAGTAATAATGAAGTTTTTAATAGTAATTAAAAACCTGATTACTAACTATGGGGTGTTATTTGTGGGTATGGAGGACAGCACTTCAAAGCTAAAAATTCAGGTCTTGTTTATGGACCTGTTGGGCTCTAATAAGACAAAACTGGAAGTTTTTCAGGAATGAGTTGATAATCTGAATTCCTCCTCCCAGGTGTAAAGCCTGAGTTGGGGGCTGGTTCTGCCCCTGTTCCCAGAGTGGTTTCAGGAGGGTTTGAGCCTCCTGTCCTGGCACTGAGCCCTGTCCAGGAGCATCTGGCACAGCCCCTGTGTCTGCTGTGTTCCAGGCAAGCAGCTCTCTATGGCAAGAGGAGGGGGCAGAAGGAGGAGGATGAGCAGGAGGATCTCACCAAGGACATGGAGGATCCCACCCCAGTGCCCAACATAGAGGAAGTGGTACTTCCCAAAAATGGTAAAATGTGGGAGCACTTGGGGCTCTTTGAATGGTAGAAATGAAACTGCATTAAAATTGTGTCTATATTTTGTCAAATCTTCGAAATACTCCGTGGCCATGGATCTCTGCCCACAAATTTATCTAGTCAGGCATGTAACAGCTGAAAAGGGCAGCTGTGTCACCTCCTTTTGGCCTTTTAAAATACAAAACTACGTTTATAAAAGACACTTTTAAAAATAGATTTGCAGTGATCTGCTGAAATGTTTCCTTTCACTGGCTCATATTGGGGGAAATGGAGTTTTCTGGAGCAAAGTATTTCCCTGCCAAGCCCCCAGAAGAAGGATGTTAAATGAGTGGAAAATGTGCTAGTGTCAAGTGCTTTTAGTCCTTTTCAGGGCAGTAATAATTCTGGGAAAAAGAATTCCTTCAGCATCCCTGGCAGCAATAATTTTGGGAGTCTCTGTTTGGGTGATGCTTGGATGTGCACTGGAGCCGTGCTGTGTGCTGGGCAGGGCTGTGAGGAGCTGGGAATGCAGGGCAATGGGACAAACGGGCCCTTGTGCTGCTGTGAACTCCTGACCTGCAGGAGGGCCTGGGGAACGGGGCCAGGCTGCAGCTCTGCTGCTCTCTGCTGCTCTCTCATCCCTCTGTGCTTGCAGTGAACCCAAAGAAGGACAGTGAGAACACGCCCGTCAAAGGAGGAACCGTGGCAGACCTGGGTAAAGCCTCTCACCCTCAATCCTGCTTCCAGCCAATATTTTAGCATATATCTCAAATATTTCTAAATCTCTCCATTTAAAAAGCAATCTCTACTTCTGCTGTTTTGTTGAATTAATTCATATTTCATCCAAATTCAAGTTGCAGTGTACCAGCTCTTCTCTGCAAGGCTGTTCTCTCATAGGCTACTGTTATTTTTATTTTTTAACATGACATACAAGCTCTTTTCTAGCAGAATTATTTTTTTTTACAGGGAATCAGGGTAAATCACAGGTTCCCTGAGCTTTGCTAAGCCTTGACATGAGATACAAACTTGTATCCCATATCTTATTAAACAAAAGTCATTTAAGACACTGGGAAAGGAAGTAATTAATTGTGGATTCTGAAGTGTTAAGAAATTCTAATTATTCTTCCTGTATTCTTACCTGTTCCCTGGTGTGGGATAGGTAAAGGTGTAATTGCTTTAGTGATGCGGGATCCCCTTTGTTTCCCTCCTCCCTTCCCTAAGAAATTAAATGTTCTTTCCAGTTAAACAGTTGTGTTGCTGGAAAGGCTCCTGAGCATTTAAATGAGGTTATTGGTGTAATTCTCAATGGTTTTCCCTTTCAGATGAGCAGGATGAGGAGACAGTGGCGACTGGAGGAAAGGTAACAGCACCTGCTGCTTTAATGTGGTAACAGCTGAGATTGTACAATCCCAGAGGGTTTGGGCTGGAAGGGACCTTAGAAAGCAACCCAGTGCCGGCCCTGCCATGGCAGGGACACCTTCCCCTGTCCAGCCTGGCCTGGGACACTGCCAGGGAGCAGGGACAGCCACAGCTGCTCTGGGATTTCCATCCTGGCCCCTCACCAGGAACAATTCCTCCAGTATCCAACCCTGCCCTCTTTCTCTTTGAAGTCACTCCCTGTGTCCTGTCAATATCTTAGCCTCACCTTCAGTAGCTTCACCTGAACTCATTTTCCAATGATCTGTAAGATTGAGATTAAATCATTGACTGACAGGATTGAGATTAAATCATTGACTGACAGGATGGAGGGTTTGTTATTATAGAACTCTCCAGGTTCTGTGGATGACTTGGTATTTTTAAATCTGGTGTATCAGAAAGGAGAATGAGGAGACAGATGCTGAGTATTTTCCAAGAAGCATTTTTCAGAGAGAGGTTTTGCTTTGTTTTTTCAGTTTTAGGACTAAATCTAAACCCTGCCTTGGCTCCCTTATCATTTCAGTAGAGCTGCAGGGGTAGTTTCTGTATTGAATTGCATTTGTGGCATGCCAGGCACTATTTTTAACAGATGTCAGATCCCTGAATGTGTTCAGAGTGATACCTTGTTGTCTTTGGGGGAGCTCAAACAAAGATCTGATCACAGATAATGATCCATTATTGATACCAGTGACTCCTCAGGCTCTGCCTGTAGGACTTGGCTATTTTTAATGTCACTCAATCAACACCTGAGGTGTTTTGTACAGTTCTTGTCACGTCCTGACCCTGTTTTGCTGCCTCCTCTGTGCCCTCCTCATCATCACTGGGGCTCAGCAGTTGGAACTTGAGTTGCAGAACAGCAGCTGCTCACAGGAGGGTCAGTGGAGGGGGCCCAAAGCTGAACCTGCTCCTCATGAGGGTGTCACAGAATGGGCTCAGGGACCCTGTGCTGCTGTCCCTGCTCATGGAGGTGTCACAGAATGGGCTCAGGGACCCTGTGCTGCTGTCCCTGCTCATGGAGGTGTCACAGAGTGTCTGTGGGCTCAGGGACCCCTGTGCTGCTGTCCCTGCTTGTAGGGGTGTCACAGAGTGTCTGTGGGCCCTGTGCTGCCCTCACCCTGCTTGTAGGGGTGTCACAGAGTGTCTGTGGGCCCTGTGTTGCTGTCCCTGCTCATGAGGGTGTCACAGAGTGTCTGTGGAACCCCTGTGCTGCTGTCCCTGCTCATGGGGGTGTCACAGAGTGTCTGTGGAACCCCTGTGCTGCTGTCCCTGCTCGTAGGGGTGTCACAGAGTGTCTGTGGGCCCTGTGCTGCTGTCCTTGCTTGTGGGGGTGTCACAGAGTGTCTGTGGGCCCTGTGCTGCTGTCCCTGCTCGTGG